AGCGCCACAACCCCAGTGTCGTCTGCGACTGGACTTACCGTAACTGTCAGGGGTCCTTTACCTTTACAACCTGAGTCTATTATGGAGGGGTTTACAGCATTAGCACCCAGAAAGTGTCTTGCTTCTCCCATAGCCGCAGCCTTCAAGTAGAGATCTGGCATGGCAGTCTCTCTATGCTTACTGCTTGGCTTGTGGCCCACATCACTGCAACTGAACGCAGGCTTTGTCCTTCTAACTAACCCATTTGCTGTCTCACACAGAGACCATTCCCTTTGTTTCCCTTAACAGCCCATCACCAGGCGATCACCTCAACACAGAAATCTAGCCTGGCTTATATTTTAACACTTGCTGAATCCAGCAGTTAGACGTATCTTGCATACAGCCTACTGCCTCCCCACCAAACTCATAATAATATATAGATTTCAGGGCCCATCAGTAAAGGCTGGGAAATACCCAGACAAAAAGGTGAACATGAAACACTTTGATCACACCAAAGCTCCGTATGAATGCTGATACAAACAAGGCTCTTGGTTCCTCAGTATAAAGTGAGATCTTTCAGAACAGTTGTAGAGTTGCTTGTGCTATATTTCACGTTTGCCAAAGTCTTTCGTTCTCAGACTTAAAGGCATCACATCACGCAAACCTGCTTTCATTTCCTGCAGAACAGCTCCAGGGTCCACAATTTGATATTATTCAAATTTTAAGACTTGAAAGTCATCCTCCAAGTGCCCACGGAATTAAAAGCTGCTTTCAGTATACCCTGTTAATCTTGATTCTCCCCAGCCTGCCTTAAAGCCATAGTGGTGTTGGTGGTTGTGAGGTCAATGTGCTTTTTTAAAAAGGCTTTTCAATAGTACTTATGCTCTCGGCTTTTCAGAATAAACACAAGAATACATCTTTATAAGGCAATAAATGTAATTGCAGCTTATTGATGTATAGAGAACCTGGTTTCAAGCCAGCCATGGCTGTCCGCCATAAAGTATACCGTATACACTTTACTGTCCACTTGGCTGCATGCTGACTACAAGTAACTAATTTTTATTAGTCCTTAATTCTTGAGGCTTATGAAAGTTATTTAACCAAGCTTTAACCCAATAAACATATACACTACACTGCTTATACTAAAGAACCATTCCCTACTTTGGAAACTCAAGATTCATATCTTCTTATGGCTTGGACATGGCAGCATAGTTAAATCTTGCCTAGAAAACCCTTCCAAGTCCTGCAGGTTATTAATCTGGTTTTCAAAATCTTGATTATTTCACTTTCAACAGTCATATTTCTGAAGGGGCGACTCAAAAGGCTGTTTACACTGGAACCGTTTTATCTGTCTTTGCGTTATCCCCACATACTGGAATGGGAGAACCGAAACAGAGAGGACTTCTGAATATTTCAGGCCAGCATTTCCATAATTGGTTTATATAAATGAATTTTTGTGTTCATGAATGTCAAAGAAGTGGCATTGCAGATCATACTTCTGGGAAGCTCAGAGGGAACCCCCCACTCCTTTTTCCTTTATGGACACCGGGAAGGAGTGATTGTGGATGCTTCTGGGGAGAGCAGAGAGTTGTAGGGGGGGAGTTTGTAATCTTGTCCCCACCTTTCGATGTGAGCTTAAGTTTGGAGAGAGAGCACCAGGAGATCCCCGCACTGCAGGAGGTTGGACTAGATGAGCCTGGGGCCCTTCCAACTGTGATTCTATGAGTGAGGGTGCTGCTACTGTCTATAAATGCATCCTTGTATATTTGGTGGGTGGGGCTGGTTGTCTCTGTTGTATTTCTGTGTTTTGCATCCATTTGTTGTCATCATGGTCCCTATAGGCTTTGCCCCAAGCTTGCTTGTGGACTGGAATTCAACTTCCAGTTGGAATTGTACACTTCTCTGGATTTTTCAGTGCAGTCTTGGCAAACAAAAAGTAGACACACAAATGTGTGTGTGTGTGTGTGTGTCATACACGATGACTTGTATACAGACAAATGCATTGAAAAGTGCCCATTTTATGTCAATAATGTTTGCTCTTTAGATGCATACTTTTTGTGCATTCTTTCAAAATTGGATTTATGGTTGAGCATCAGTGAGACCAAAACTGGATGGAATGAGGCTGGTCTGTCCACCCACAGCATAGACTGCACGGTTACATAACACACAGAAGGTGCTGGTCCACTTTAGATGAGTATCACCAGCACCTGCAAGTTGCAGTGATGGTTATGACCGCCACACACCATGGTAGATAATCTAGCAGTCTATTCACACATTACTCATTATTCACACATTACATAAAAGAGCTGCTCTGAGAAGGTAACAGCCACAAAGTTCAAGATGCTGTAAAACCTGGATTTGAGGAACTAGAGAAAGCATAGGAAACTGTTCTCTACCATACTAGGGTAGTGTAACATAGCATTACCTGCACTTGACTGATAGCAGCTCAGGTGGCGGTTACAAAGAAACTAGCAATGTTTGTACGCATGCCTCACAAATGAAAATATTGAGGATCCACAACTGATCTTTCACAAACATCAGGAAAAAAACAAAGTGGGCTTTTTAATACATTTAGTACATTTAAGTACATTATTCTAGAATACTAGCTTATATAGTGCTGATATGTGTAGCAACATGTCATAAAATCTGGAAGAGAACCCACCAGCAACTATTCCACTATAAAGTACGGGAAGGCCCATAATAAGCCAAGACCAGCAGTGAACCTCTTGTTCCTTGAGCTGAAAGACAATGATATTTATTGAATGTTGGATAACAACTCTGTTTTTGTTAACTTTTGGAGTTAGAAGGTTGGTGTATGATTTGCAGGATTTGGCAACCATTCTTGGTGATGGTTCCAAACTTACCTAAGCAGTCCAAGTTTAAACCTTATCTGAAACTTGCTTATTGTGGATAATAATGTGTGAGAGAGCATTGTAAGTTAAACTGCATGATCCAGTCATGTGTTTCATGCTATGGAAACATGAGGAGCTTAAAATGTTGTGAGGTTATCTTCACCCAACATGCATTACCTGATTTGTTTTCCCCTCCCACCCCAAACTCCTCTTCATTTGCACAATGGCTATCTAAACTGTACACACCTCAGCTTAACTGAGGCCTGTGTTTTCAGATTGGATGTAAGCTGGCCTGAGGGAAAACACATCACACAGGAGCATTTGTCAAGAAGCTATAGGATATAGATCAGAGGTAGGCAACCTAGGGCCCATGGGCCGCAAGCAGCGCACAGGAGTCGTTTAACCAGCCCACGAGCCACCCCCAAACCGAGCTGTCCACTCGGCGAGGCCCCACGCACTGCGCTAAACTGGCACAGCGCGACACGGGGACTTGCTTCTGCAGTGCCAGAAATCGCATCTGTGCAGACACAGATGCCAGAAATTGCATCTGCGCAGGCACCAGAAATCGTGCACGCGCATGCACAGATGCCGGAAATTGCCTCTGCACAGGCGCCGGAAATCGCGCACGGAGGGATCTCCGCTGGAGTGAACCGGCCCAGGCAAGGTAACCTTGTTGACCCTTGATATAGATGGATTGTAGTTAATGCCATGTGTCACTTCAGACACCAGCAGTGGAGTGAACTTTAATATGTACAAGGCCTCAGAGTCCACTGGATTTTAGTGGAAGAGAGTTAAACCCTTAGAAGTCAATGGGGCATCAGAGTGTTAACTGTGGCTGGATCTTGCTCAATGATTTGTCACACTGAATAATTTTTATTTCAGCTGTCAGCTTTCCGGATGACTTCAGCTAGAAGCAGGAATGTCCCTCCTTAATAGTTCTCTCTGATGATTTCTGATGAGATAAATCATTTGGCGCTCTTTTAAATACAGGTTTATGGAGCACCGTGGGGAGGGGAGGGTGATTTCATTTGTTGGCTTGCCTTTTAATTAGACTAACTAATGCACCTAAGATTCCTGGAAATGGAGAAAGAGTTATGAATAAGAATGGCAATTGAACAGTTCATGTGGTAATGGTTAGATAGAGTGATTAAGAGCCTCACACCAGTTCTGTGCCATTGTTCTGGACACAGCGAAGGGGATGTTAGGGCTGCTGCTGTACCCCATGGACACAGGGGGGAAATTGCTTTGGATGGGGGCTGCTTTACTTCAGCGCACTTTGGGCCAGTTTTGCTTTGAGGCAGATCCGAGCAAGAGCCTGGCCTTGGTTTCCCAAAGCTTCAGACGTCTTCCTTCCTAGGCAAGCCAATGGAAAAATAAAGACTGCATGCCCCTGAAGAAGAAGAAGAAGAAGAGTTTGGATTTGATATCCCGCCTTTCACTCCCTTTAAGGAGTCTCAAAGCGGCTAACATTCTCCTTTCCCTTCCTCCCCCACAACAAACACTCTGTGAGGTGAGTGGGGCTGAGAGACTTCAAAGAAGTGTGACTGGCCCAAGGTCACCCCAGCAGCTGCATGTGGAGGAGCGGAGACACGAACCCGGTTCCCCAGATTACGAGACTACCGCTCTTAACCACTACACCACACTGGCTCTCTGAAGGCTCTCTTAACCACTACACCACACTGGCTCTCTGTGAAGGCTGAACCCTCCCCCAGCCATTTTTCACATGCAAGTCAATGAAGAAATTTACATTTGCTTTCCTGGGAAGAGAATAATAGAATCATAGAGTTGAAAGGGACTGCAAGGGCCCTGTAGCCCAACTTCTTGCAATGCAGGAATCCTGTCCACAGCCGTCCCTGAGTGGGCTCAAACCACCAACCTTCTGGTTTACAGCCAGATGCACTGACCCACAGGATTAGGGATTAGGAGCCGCACGTCTAAAAATGGCTGCATAACAGCCCTTCCCCACTTCCTTCCCCATCTGGGGGCAACTGGATCCTTGGTAGGAATGGTGGGGTGCTGTATGCAGCTAAACAGATCTACTGCTTTTGTTGACTTTGGCAGTGGGGATGCACTTCCAAATACATGTGTGTGGGAAGGTCCAGCCCATCGGTCCTTGGATGCTTGCTGGCAAGTGGGATTCCGTTTTCAGAGGATCAGTTATTATCTCCCAACAAGTCAGTTGAGACAGATTGGTCAGCCATGAAGACAGCATGGAATTGGGTTGGGAATAAAACCTCTGAAAGCTGATAGTGTGAGCTCTGAAAGGTATGCTTTATTTATTCATTTAGAGTGCTTATTGCCAGAATAGGCTTCTAAGTGGTTTGTGGTTTTCACAGATGCCCCAATGATTTAAAAGCTATAAATGAATCTAGAAGCTGGGACAAGCCCGTTTAACTTCAGACCAATTTGGGGAAGATCTGCTTCACTTTAGAAGGCATCTGAATACCTCCAGAGTCACTAGCTTCAGTTTGGTATTTTTTATTTGACAGGGCTGCCACGCCAGATATAATATAAATTGCCTTTTGGAGTTGGGTCATCATAATACCTACTAATATTCCCAAATGTTTTTCTTTTCATTACTGATTTATTCTTTTTATGTATCAATTTGCTCTTGGGTGATGATTTGGTTTCTTTTGGTTGATCACCATACCTCTGGTCAGGCTCAATATGTGACCGTAGACGCAGAGCTAAACCACAGAACATAGGTGGGACCCCTGTGGCCTTTAGGTGTTATTGGCCTCCAGTTCCCATCAGCCCCTGCCAACAAGGCCATTGGTAAGGGATGATGGGAGCTGTAGTCTCACAAATTCCCTCCACCTACATCAACAGTGCAATTTTGTACCTATTTACTCAGAAGCAGGTCCCATTGACTTCAGTGGAGATTGGTCCCAGATAAGGAATACAATTGCAAACTTAATGTACCAATTTCCCATTAAATACGGTGGTTTTTAACTTCGTGATGAGGAAGCCTCATTTATTTAAATGGATATGAACATTCTTAATTTTGTCAAAGCTGAACATAAAAAGACCTTCCTTAAGGATGGATGTTCAATAAGGGAGACAGAGCAAAAGCAAAGTCTTGGCAATTGAGCCTATAAATTTATTGTCATTGGAGCTCATGCATTTTCCAATTGCTTGGATTGTTTACGAAGCTTTACTTTAATTAAAATAAAGTAATTTCGTTCTGCTAATGACTACTTCTCTTTAAAGTGCCACTGGAATTCTGAAGGAAATATACTTCTAGCAATTTAATCAAACCGATCTGTGTTCATCTAATGTTTCCATCTCGTAATTGTGGGGATATTCATAATATACCCTTGAGAAATCTGCTGTGTATGATTTATTGTTGGAAAGAGATGCATGCAGTACCGAATACATTTTCAGGTCTCCTGCCATTATCCATATGCCATATATTACTTGTGCATAGAGAGAACAAGTTGTTGTTGTTTTTTACATGCTAGCCCTGCCTGTGCTCGATTCTCACTGCTTTTGAAAAGTGCCCACATGCATACAAACTGTCCATGAGACTGCACCCCTGTTTTGCAAGTGTACCCGTCACATGTACAGAGCCCGTGCATGTGTGAAGGCAGAGGTGGGGCTGGTGGGCATGGTCTAGATCTCCCAGTACGTGTGTTCACGTAGGACATGTGTGGGAAGACCAGTCTGCTCTTTTATTTTTTAGTTTCTTACAGAAATCCTAGGCATCAGCACCAGCTGAAGAGAAGTAAACACTGATAAAAGCGGATGCCCATTCTAGGGCGGGGCGGAGGCAGTCTAAAGAAATTGTGACTTGTCAATAGCAACCTAGTTACCAACTACTAATAGCTATTAGCCGCACGGGTACTAAGAGAGGAATTGTTTTAACTTAATGGGAAAAATAAATTGCAGCAACTGAAGCAGAGGAAGGGAAGGAAGGAAGGGTTGAATTAGCTTTGGAAGAGTGAAGATTTCTCCAGAAAAAACTTTGATAAGTAATTCCATGTTTTGATGCTTCAGACGTGAATGGCAACAGTGTGAAATGTTCTTGCAGTGAAAAGTTTGGAAATAGTTCAGAAAAAGAAGCACCACAGGTCTATTCAGTATACATTGGAGGATGATTAAGTTAGCTTTCATGTCAAGAGGGAGGGAGAAATAGCAGGATATGGATAGATGATAGATAGATAGATAGATAGATAGATAGATAGATAGATAGAATTATTGTAAAATTAATGAATGTTAGAATGATGTTGGATAAAAAGTTAAGTGGTTTTTAGCTATAACGCTATAAGGAATATGAAAAAATGGATTATTAACAGGTAAAAATTTAATGTTATAATATTTTAAGATTAAAGACTAGGATAAACAAAGAGGGAAAGGATTTGCTGAACTAATAAATTGAATTGGAATACAAAAAAGGGAGGCCTGAGGAGGTCCGGGAATCAAGCAAATGAAAAATAAGTGATGGAAAGATGGAATTGTTTTTAACTATTTTCATTTTGTATTTTTCTTTTTTCTTTTTTCATTTTGTAAAATCTTAATAAATATCTTTTTTAAAAAAAGATAGATAGATAGATAGATAGATAGTTCTATCTAGATGATAGATGATAGATAGATAGATGATAGATGATAGATAGATGATAGATAGATAGATAGATAGATAGATAGATAGATAGATGATAGATAGATGATAGATAGATAGATAGATAGATAGATAGATAGATAGATAGATGATAGATAGATAGATAGATAGATAGATAGATGATAGATGATATAAGCTCAAGGTAGCATATGTGGTCCCCCCCTCCCATTTTATCCTCACAACATCCCTGTGAAGTCGGCTGTGTGAGGCTGTCCCTGACTCCAAGGTCACCCAAAGAACTTCATGGCTGAGCTGGGATTTGAACCCTGGTCTCCCAAGTCCAATCCTCAAACCACTGCACCCCACTCTCCTGTTTCAGGATTACTGCCTTGCTGTCTAAAGTCATTAATCATTAGGATTCATTATTTGAATATGAAAGAAATGGACATCTCTCACTGCTGAAAAATAGGCTTTCTTCCCCGCCGTCATTCTCTGCTGCCAGATCACACTGAACACTGTTTACAGGGATGTGGAACTGAATGTCCTCTGGCACAGAATTAGACCATTTTACTGGCTTCCTCTGCAGGGAACTAGTAGACACTGTGCCCTCTTAAACTGGAGATTTTGACTTTGTAACTGAAGGTAACAGTAACAGAGCGCAGACCACACCAAGCCGAATTTCAGTTGGGTAGATTTTGCTTGAACCAGGTACATCTCGAAAGTGAGAGGGAGGGAGAAGCTGCCAGCATCCCATACCCTCCAACATCCCTCACTTCCCCCAACTGACCCTCCTCGCCCCCCCCCAATTTTTTCTCCCCCTCGCCACAGAGCATTTCCTAGCAGAAGAAGGGTGAGTGTCGCCACCACCACCAGACTAACAGGGCAGAGCACCCACACCCTCCACTGTCCTGAGAAAATCCCTTAATCCCAATTAATCCCAACAAACTACCCTCGAAGGAGCACGTGTGTCCGCCACCAGAGGTACCAAGCCACCTGTGATGGCCTGGGATTCCGATTCTGAGAGCGAACTGGAGGAATCCCAGCCGGCACAGGAGTCCCCGCCTCCAGGGCCGGCTGAACTGGGGCAGGGCCTTGATTCTGAGGAGCCTGCACCTGTGCCAGATCCTCAAGAGCAGGCACCAGGTGAAACCATTCTGGCCCCAGAGGTGCTGGAGGACTCAGTGTCTACAGGTGAGCCTCCCCCGGGGCCCAGTAACCCTTCGGCCTCTCCTGAACTGCAGAGGCTTAGGGCAGAGAGGCGAAGGGAACTGGTTTCTCCCAGGAGGAGTGCTCGCCTTAAGGCCAAGAGAGGCAGGGCTTCTGGGGGCTGGGACCGCCCCTGGCCTCAGAGAAGATAAAGGCCAGTCAGCCCGGTCCCAGGTTGCGGGAGCAACGTCGTCATTGAAGAGCTGTTTCGGCCAGCATCCAGTCCTGTTCCTCCAGTGTTCGTGTTCCCCGCCCGGCTTCCTGCTTCTGACCTTCCAGCATTCCTGTTCCCTGCCCGGCTCCCTGCTTCTGATCTTCGAGTGTTCCTGTCCCCGCCCGGCTCCCTGTTTCGGACCTCACCTCGCACCTTGTGGACTATTAGCAGGCTAGTGACTCAGGACTGAACTTTGACTACGTTAACAGTAACCTTCCCCCCGGGACCAGCACACCACCCCAAACAACCCCATACACACCAATATGTATAGAATAAAATGGTAGATCTACAATATGAACAAATATTTTAATAATACAAAGATATAGATAAAGGGCTGTCAAGGAGCACGTGAAAAACATGATTGAAATGAGATGAACACATACTTCTGTCTGTAATTTTGACGTTTCCAAATCAGCATTACTTATGTATGCTATATTACTTTCTGTTTGCCTGCATGGGTTTTCTATAGAATTCTCTGTTAGCAACAATCCCCAACTCTAATTAACGTGGTACCAGATAGCCCCAATACACCAGGCAATCTGCTGTTAGAATTTAAAGTAATTCTGGAGTTTTTTGTCATTATGATATCAACAAGAAACTATTTGAAGCAACAGCTACACCAAATAAAATACATTTATGATTCTAAACATCAGGCATAGATATTCTAGAATGTGCATCAGAAATCCTAGAGTGTAAATAATAAACCGTGATTTGGCATGTGTTGTAAATCTAATATGCTAGGAAAAGTGTGTCAGCTTTCTAAAGAATGCATTTCTATAATTCTCATTGGATTTCACACCTTTTCCCATTTAAAAATTGTTGGAAGGAATTGTTTGCTGATATACAGCCTTTGTTTAACATTCTATTAATATATGCAAGGGGAAACTACTTGTAATATAGAAATTAAATATACATTTTGATTTTGTTAAATTTATCTCCGCAAAAGAAAAAAACAACAAAATAGAAGTGTAAAAGAGACAGTTCTAATGAACAGTCAAAAACATCTGCCAGGGCCAAGACTTTGCAACTAATCTCCTGCTCTCTTTTTTTTTTTTTTAAATATTTTTATTGCCTTTTTCCAAATATATCAAACAACAAAGAAGAAAGAAAGAAAAGAAAACAGAAAAAGAAAACAGATAGAATCCACCTTTCAATTACATTTTCTCATATCTTGCTGGACTTCCCCACGTCTCCCACACCTTGCTTTCTTAACAATAAAATGTCAGCAAATTAATGTCTTATTTCATGTGTTATTAATACTTTCAAATACTTGTCTTTTAGGTTCAA